AAAATATAAGGACTTCAGGCTTGAACATGGGAACCGTCACAGGAGGCAGTCCCGTCGGGCACACTAAGGGACTCCACTCCCTCTCTGTGGTACGTGAGACTCGGACTGCAATCGTCACGTAGCACTTGTCATAGGTGCACCCTCAGGCAATAAAGAAAGATGGAAGAAGTGAATCTGGCTAGGTTCTGCGAGGGGTACATTCATCCACTGTCCATTCTACCATTCAAGAAGATGGCACAGCCTTTTGCAGCACTCCCAAAGGTCGGGCTCGTCCCCACCTTGGGACTTGATAAGTCACCACTTTAATTTTCTTTTTTCTCTTTTCTTCGTTTTTCTGGGGTCTGGTCCCACCTGTGTTGTTGAGAAAACTCAATGCCGAGTCGTTCGACAGGATGTGGCCGTCGACAGGGCTGCGATCCCACGGTTTGAAGTATTTCGAAATGTTGATGTCCTACCGGGTGATTTGAATGATTTTTTTTTTTGTATAAGGACTTCAAATGGACTCCCGCAAGGGAGGGAAGGCGGCATGGGCAAGCGCCACGGAGTTGAGAAAGCTACCCTCCACGGTCGAGGGTAGGTTTCTCAACATGGTCGATGAGAAATTTTGCGATTTTTGGGATTTTAGTCGCCRTCTGCTGTTCCCCGTTTCTCGTATACTGTGTCAGGCACTTCGTCAGTGCAATGAAAGCCGTAACTGTCGTGCGTGGGCTCTATAAGGCCTCGCTCCGTTGCTCACCACATGCACAAACAAAAGAAAAAAGAAAGTTGATGTCTGTTTGCGTGTTCTTGCCTATATTCATTGCTCTTTGGACCCACTTCGACGTCCTCGTGTTTCCACATCATGGGGCCTCGCTGCACTACTCTCGACATGCACAAAAGACAAAAATCATGGCAGTGCATCTTTCCATATTCAAGTGAAAGATTTATCACTCTCGTTTTGCACATTTCGAGAGTAGTGCAGCGAGGCCCATATGGTACTTCAAGATACGCAGAATCCTCGACAGAAATCACTATCTTCGCATCATTTTCTTAAAATGAATAAAAACTGCTACGAATAAATCTGAAATGCATTTTTCGGATTTAAAAAATGCCGTAAATGGTGTCACACCGTTGAGGTTTCTCAACTCAACGGCCGTAGGTGGGACCAGACCCCTGGAGTGTCGCAGGCGTCGCACTAGGCCATGACTCGTGTGCTAGTGGAACCGTGCCCCTGGTCATTGTAGTATTATTAGGGGGAACCCCCTAGCAGCCACATCCGTGCTCAAGCCTGCAACGAGGGAACATCGGGAGCTGCACTTACCACAAGGGGTGTGGTCCCACTAGCAAAGAGGTTCGGATAGAAGGCCTGAATCTGGACGAGTTTATGGAGGTGTGCAGGAAATCGAAATTGAACTGCTTAAAACGACATCCAGATTCAGGAGCTCGATCCTATCCTTTTTGCTACCGGTAGTGGGACCTCGGCCCAGGGGTCAGCCGGTAGCATCAGGACCGAGCTCTTCTTCGATGGGCCAATCCATGTGATGTGCCGCCTCCTCCGGTCCCCTCCCCCAATGAACTCTAGCAGTCTCTGCTCGACGCCACTCGGGAGGACCAACGGCCTATCTCTAGGTGGCGGGCGCCAAACTTGCCCAGGAAGGTACATGAGGTGGATGGGGATTGAACGCAAGACCTCCTGATGCCTTTTTTTTCTTTTTTCTTTTTTCTTTATTTATTGGCGGGAGAGAAGGATGATGCTACGTAAGAAGTGGACGCAAATTCATAAATTGGAGAATGATTGTTGAGCTGTTCTCGTACTCTGGGCTACCGTCTTCCTCCGAATGGAACGCACGGTAATTACAGGTGTGTGTGGGGCTTTCGGGGACGTGCTGATTGTTTTTTTTTTAATTAAAAAAAAAAGAAGAAAGAATGAAATATTTTTATATATTCTCTCCGCATGTCCACTTGTTGTAAGCCTTGGGCGCTGGGTCCGATATAAATAAATGTAACTCAGGATAGCAATAGGGATACGATGTGAAAGAGCGTATTATAGGTGAGGACTTGGTTTGAATACAAGAGGTTGAGTGATAAGAGGCCTTTGAGTGGGAACTAGTCGTAGGTTTGGAAGCATGTTTGAGACTGAAGTCGCATAAGCTAAACCGGCTGATGCTGCCGGGATAACTCCGGGTTGAGTTGTGAGGTCCCCGGCCTCGTTTCAAATGACTGTTTTGGTAATAAACTGAATTTGGAAAAAAATAAAAATAAAATAAATAAATAAATAGGGGTATTTCGCAAGTTATCCCATAGTATAAATAATGTAAATATTAAATAATATGAATAATATAAATATCATTAAAAAAAATAAAAAATAAAAAAAATTGCGGTTCTTCCAAACAAACGAAAAGGGAAAGATAAGTACTTGTTGATGATCCTACCCTAATCATTTCGATGATGGGCCGACCGCCACAGCGTCTGCCACGTGGCGCGCTTGGAGTTCTTTGTGGCGCGCTTTGAGTTCTTCTTCGTTGCGAACTCGCTTTGCGGCCTACGTGTTCCACGTGGCCCATCTCCGTCCACGTGTCCTCCGCTGCCTACTTTGTTTTCTGACCGTCAAATTATGAAGTCGATCAACGGTCAGAAATCAATACTTGATTCCGGCTGGAACAAGTGAGACTCCGCCCAGGTTGGGATCCCACTCCTTGGGGAGGCTCGTCTCACCTCCAATAGCCGACCCCC